CCCGAGGGCGCTCCGCACTGCCGCTGCTGCTTGAGGGCCGGCTCAGCCGAGCGGCTGTGGGAGCAGCCCCAGAACTGGCAGGAGCTGATTGGCAAAGGTGGCTTCACGGCTCAGGAGCTCAACGTCCACCCTGTTCTCCACATGGCAGGAAGCAGAAGTGCCCTCCAGAGTGGTGAGGAAGGAGCCCGCCGCGGGCGGAGAGCTGAGGAGAAGGGCAGCGGCCCCGCAGAGGACACGGGCCCGCCAGGCCCCGCTCCCATCCTGCGTGGGGTGAACGTGACCAGAGGCGACGGGGACAGGGGAGAGGAGCTCGGGGCCTCTCCGAGCAGCCTCAGGAGCTCTCACCCCTCTGCTTGGAGTCACACAGGGAGCCACTACCCTGGTTTGGGTAAAAAAAAAGCAGCAGTTTTTGGTTTTTGGCTCTCCTGGAGGCCAAGGAGAGCAGCCAGATTCCCCTTCCTGTCCCTGGGGCTTCCTGGGAGGCATCGCTCCTCCCAGCACACACCGAAGGAAAACCTCTTGTCTGCTTTGTACCCCCAAACCTGCAGAACCGCAGCAGTGTTTCGCCCCCAAATCCACTCTTCTGGGAGGGGGTTGGATCATTTCGGCTCGTGCCAGCGCCTTGTTTGGAAAGACAAGAAACACCCAGCTCAGGCCATGCCCAGGGCAATTTGGTATTTTCTTATTACTTATTTCTTACTGATGGTGTTCAGGCAGTTGGGGTTCAGGCTGTTCTCAGCTTTTGCTGCCGGTCGGGAGCTGGGGAGCAAATGAAGCCGAGAGGCCCAAGGCGAAAGAGGCTGCGGCCCCACTAAACCCAGGAGGGATGTGCATGGGCCGAGCGCGGGGCCACGCGAGCCCAATGAAGTCAAGATTTGAAGGAATAAAAAAAACAACAACAAAAAAGGCTATGAAATATAAACAGTTCAAGCCAAGCAGCTCGTGGGCAATGGGGCTCTGGGGGAAAACGGGAGGTGTTGTTCCCTGTGGCCTAGCGCGCACCCAGCTCCTGCCAGCGCTGCCTCCGACCACACGGCCAACTCAGGCCCTGCAGACGAGCTGAGGGGCCGGGTGGATAAAATCTGAGTGGAACCGCTGTCCCCAGGGCGTTTTGCTCCAGAAAGGCTTGTCTGCACTGCCTGCATGCACCTTGCTGCAAATCTGCGTGGCACCGGTGCTCCTTTTGGGAGGCTACGGGATGGGGTCATGGCCATCTGAGCTGTGATGGACACGGCCTCCATCCCCAACCTTCATTTTTCCAATTCTAGTGCCTACCCTCTGGAAAACTTCATGTCAAGATGCACTTGGGAGGCTCTAGGCATAGTTAAGGCACACGGGAAAATGTGTTCTCGTTAGTAAATAAACCAAGCACAGTGAAAACAGGGATACTGCAGGGCCGCTCAATTAAGCCAAAAGGGGCCCAAAATTTCCCATTTCAGAGCATCCGCGGGGCCACAGCAGCTCTGCTGATTTTCTGCTGCCCCATCTCCAGCTTCCGCTTGCTTTCCCACGACGCCTTCGAAAGTAAAAAAAACTCCTCCTCGTCTCTGTTTGTTCCTGTCAGTGGCGCTCTGGAAATTCTACTCTGAAGTGTAAAAACCAAATTGCGCCTCCAAACACACGGGAAAAAAACACAGAGGGAAAAAATAAAAGATAATTTAAAAAAAAAAAAAAAACAGTCCAGAGGCCGCTTTTACACGTCAAGAGTCTAAGGAAAAAATAACGCTGTCCTACCCCAGCAGCACGGTATCGCACTGCGCCTTGGCAGTGCTAACACCGCAAGAAAAGGCCCCGGCATCGGTGGCGCCGACGCTTTTCCCGTTGGCCGAGGACGCACCACGGCCGGGCACGAGGACACCGTGGCCAGAGCGCGAGCGCCCTGTGCAGTCACTGCTTCTCCCCAGTGCTCTGCTCACACCGGCCTCCTGCGGCTCTTCTCTTTAAAAAAAAATAAAAATAAAATAAAAATTAATGGCTGGGTACATGTTTTCTTCTCCTTGTGCATAAAACTCCCCTTCAAATCCGTGCTGCGCTGGAGGGCGGAACGTGAGCCGAGCTGGTGGGTTCTCTGCACCCCTAGGATCACGGGGCACCCGGCACCCGTTCAGTGGCTCAGATGTGGGAGGCAGGTCCTGGGACCACCTCGGATCCCCTTTCCCCCTGCAGCCTCGGGAAAGGACGAAATCAGGAAGAACTAGGGCAAATAGGCCCTTTGCAGCCCATGCCGGCGCATTTTCCTTGGGAGCAGATCCGGGAGGAAGCATCTCACGTCCCAAAAAGACGTCAACCTCGCTCTGCACTGGGGCCCGAGGGGAAGAAAATGCTTTGCTGGAGATGAGGAAACGGTTCTGCTGCGGCCGTGATGCTGAGCGGGAGCGACGGGCTGTCGCTGTGGCCGTGGCGCCACACGGCGCCACCGCCCGGGGACACGGCCGCGCCAGGGGGGCTGGCGGCTCCGCGCCGGGATTTGGGACCGCTCAGTCTGCTTAAGGGTCTGTTAACCCCCCTGCCTCCTTCCCTACCAGGCTAAAAGACTTTGACCAGCAAACTCATCACACTGATGGCAGCATCCGTGGATGGGGGCACCCCGAGGCCGCCTGTCGGCTCATGTCCTGCAGCCTCGGCCGGTGGTACCCTCTGCAGCAGGCGCCTGCCCGTACCCGTCCCCCTGCACATCCTGTGGGAATGCCAGGGAAAGGGGCCGGGATAAATGCCTTCCAGCGCGTTAGCCCTTCCTTTGGGCGAGCGATCGCAAACTCCTCCTCTTCCCCTGCATCCCTCAGGAAGAGCTGGACAATCACCAGGCACCGGCATCATCCAGGCATTTGGGTCCCTGCAAATAACAGCAAGGAAAGGGCCTACGCCAGCAAGTTGGTGTGGACACAGCTATGGCACCGTCAGCACGCGCCGCTCCAAAAAACAACGGCTGCCAGCAGAAATCACCGCCCCTCCAGCTAATTAATTTGATTCCCACGCAAATACTACAGCCTCTGCTGACACGAAATCGCGCGTTGACCCCGGCGGCTCCAGCCAGCTGCCGCCTTCCCAGCGCGGCTCCCGCGGGCAGGAGACACCCGTGGGTTCCTGCCCTCCCGGCGCTCGGCCCGCGGGGCTGCCCGGCACAGAGTCCGCTCCTGCTTCCAGGAGTCTGGATGCGATCCGGTCCTTTTTCCAGCCTGCTTTTCCTTTAGCCAGGACACTGGATACTCCTCTATCCAGGACACTTTATCCTTTTTCTTTTATCCAGGACAGTCACTCCTGGTCTCTCCTCTCCCAAGGAGGGCCAGGAGTGAATGAAGGCCCTCACAGCACACGCAGATGCAATAGAGATGCTCTCCAAGACAACCTGCTCCCCGGGTAAAGCTAACGCTACCCTTAAAATGCTCCGAATACCCAACGTGAGGAGCCAGCAGCACATCACTCCCATCTCCTTCGGGCAGAAATGGGAAGATCCGATTCCCTTTGGCAGCTTCCCAGAGCCCCAGGCGAACGGCACGAGCGCGCGGGAGCCGCGAGCCTGCAGGAGCAGCCAGTGTGCGGAGCTCTGCACAGCTCAGCTGGCGCTTTGCAAGCTGCAGCCTCGGCAGCGCGGGCCTGGCCTCTCCTCCTCTTCCTCCTCCTCCTCCTCCTCCAGGCACAGCCCGATAATGCTGCAGCCCTATGGAGCCCAGGCTGGAGCTGCAGGGCTGCGTCCAACGCGGATGCAAGCCGGAGTGCAAGCCCAGACACGAGAAATGCCTCGCTGCAGCCTTCAGCTTCCATCGCGTGCTTGGGAAAAGCACTAAAATCAGCTGCTGCACCTTGAATTTGAGCATGAGGCAGCAAAACGCACAACGCGACGGGGAATAGCTGCAGCCCTGTGCAATCCCAAACCATTTAGGAGCTGTCGTTTAGCAACTCCGCTGCCGTTAGGGGACACAGCGGATTTTGCTCTGCAACATCTGTCAGGAGCCACGATGCTGCGGGGATGGGCGCCGCACGTGGGGTAGGGGACAGGCACGGGCACGGGTCGGTTCTCACCGTTCCCATCCAGCACATGGGGTGGCTGGTCCTGCCTTTTAAAAATAGCTGGGCGGCCGAGTGCCGAGGGAGGGAGGCGCGCGAAAGCCGGCCAAGGACGCGGTGCTCCGTATCAGCCAGCTGCCAAGGACGGTGGATACGGAGCGAAACGAAACGCCCCGGCATCCCCGAAGCGGAGCGGTGAGCGGCTGAGCACTGGACAACTCACTGCAACTGCCCTTCCCCGGCACAGCGACCTGGCACCTGCTGGACATTGGGGCTGCAGTGCCAGGTCCCGGCTGCAAAGCGATCCGCGGATTTCAAGGAAAAGCCCTTCAGCATGAGCCTGCGCCTTCCCAGCGACTCCCTGGAGAAGGAACGCCGGGAGAGGGAGACGGCGGAGGGCTCTCGGAGCAAAGCCAAGCGCCTGCCTTGCAAACCCCTCGCCAACCCCATCCTCCCCTGCTGCAAATCCCAGCTCCTCTCCTTCCCCGCCCTGCAGCCCCGCGGAGGCTCCGCCGGGAGC